CAACTAGAGTTAGTTGACGTTACTGTCCTTTTAAGTAACGCGTTTTCCCACCTGATGACGGACACGGTAACAATAAAGTTGGTCTATCACCTTAGATGCCCCTAGCCCCAGCGTTATGTCTTAAAGGATTGGCGGTATTATTATGGTTTAGTTTTTAGTCTATTTTTAGTATATTAGTTTAATTTTTACTATAGTTTTGTTAAACTTAGCTTAGTATATAGTAATTATTTAGGTATATTTATGAAACTTTGGCGGTAGCTAAGTAAACTTAAACAAAAATTAAACTAATAAACTAAATAATCAACTATAAAGTAAAACTAAAAGTAACCAGAGGACTAGGGGTACCTAAAGTGGTAGAAAAACCTTATTGTCACCACGTGCACATATTGTTATAATTTTGCCACAAGCCACGATGTTCGCCGTTTAATAAGGCTTCGATCGAATTCCCAAGGGAGAACTCAACAGCAAGAGCGCAAGAATAGACGTGCTTTGACGTACTTAATACAACATATTTAAGGGCAAACTGGGAGGATAAGCGTATGTACAAGGTCGAAGTGCAATCGGACCAATCCGATAGTGTCCTTGAGGGATTAGCAGTTTGACTGGCTTTCCGGCTCATCTGATTGGTTGGGTAGAACAATAATCCCGTCGGCAACTTTTGCGATAGCATCACGCGCACGACCGATCGATCTATAGTGCGGCGTGGAACGAGTCATCCGGTCAATGTGCGAGCGAGTCGGTCAGGGCTCCTCCTAAGACACATGCTGTCAGCACAGTCGAGGTTTCCTATTAGATGCTCACCGATCGGTTACAGGACTCACTCTGCCTATCGTGCCTTGCAGCTCACGCTCGAGTTCCGCCAGCAGCTGCACAGCCTGTTTCGCGAATTAGAATGTCACCCACTCTCTCAGTTATTTGTACGCCTGATATCCAGAGTCCAGTTGTTGATCTGCACGCCGGACCTTGGTACACATCTGGGAATTGCATCATTTTATTTATCCGTGATATTTGACAGCCTCTTCGTTTTCAATTACATATTAGGTTTTTTCGGGCAATGCTGGACAATTTTTCGATTTTCTTCCAAAATAGAAAGTTGTTATTTATTTTTATAGTGTTTCATACAAACTCTAACATGCTTAATAGTTTGTGTGTGGTCTTTAGTTATTTTCCTATAATTTCCTTCAGAGCACAATTTCGAATCATATAAACTCTTAATAACGAAAATGAAAAAAAAATAAGAAGTGTGTTTACTTTTCTCGCGCGAATTCAACCTCGGTTATAATGCTTCCCAAACAACCGTCAATATGAACGTAGCATGGGGACGGGGTGGGGGGTCTACAAGCGATCGGTCAGGAAGAATGGGGTCTCAGTAATACGTTCCGGTTTCAAGGGGACGCAAAACTCATGCGCAAGACACAATAAAATCCCATTCATGAATTTCGGTGAAGCCTACCCTTGCCAATACGGGCTAGTAAAGCGTCTGAATAGCCGACTTTGCAAATATGGCAAACAGAGGATGCCTACATATCGGATGATACCCTTGTCTCATTTTCTCTTCTTTTCTGATTTATCGCAGTGGCTTAACTTATTACGGAAAACCCTTCTTGCTGCGATCTTCAAGTCCGATTCTGTATGGAGAGAGAAGAAATGAGATGCAAAATGGAAGGAATAGTGTATTCTGCACAAAAGTAGTGGAAAATAGCTTGGAGAAAGTTGAAGACTGGACAAGTGCGCTATCACCCACGAGGGGGACGGAGTCTGAAGGGTAAGAGCGCGGCGTTTGTCATAGTGAGGTCCTGTAAAAGTTAGCCCTGAAGGTGATTGATCAGACTGGGGTAAGCTGACACGGGCGCATGCGCACGTACTAGCAGCCGTACAAAGCGAACTTTTGCATCTAGTGTAGTCGTTACAGACCCATACGATTGCGGATTTCTGTATTAGGTGGAGGCTTTTAAATACAACGAGATCATTTACAATACCACAACAAACTCCGAATTTATTGCCTCCGAAAGCAACATCATAAGATAAGTAACTTGTAGAATTATTTAACATACTGAAAGCACAGATACTAGCTAAAAGGCACAGGCACGTGTGCGATCTGTATTCTGCCGCTGCTTGACGCAGCTGCGAGAGGTCTGGCTCATCAGTGGGTCTCCCAACATTCCTTGTGCGATTTCTGGTTGATGCATCAGTTTGAAATTTCAGTCTTTTTAAAATTTC